TGTGTGTGTGTGTGTGTGTGTGTGTGTGTGTGTGTGTGTGTGTGTGTGTGTGTGTGTGTGTGTGTGTGTGATTTCAGGATAATACTCGTGAATCACAACCCCTTTTGAAATTAAACGTTGGATAACTTAAATTTGGTCAAAATTTCATATATAATTTCCAATGTATTGAGTGTTTAAAAACGAAGTAATGTATTTCACATAATTAAAAAAAGAAAACAAAACAAAAGATACAATGAACTCTCCTACAAATCATTTTAAACGTCTGATACGTCCATGAGAAAAAAGTCGCTGGTCGTGCAGATGCAGTTAAGCCGATTACTCGCGATTTACTTCGCGAGCAAGTTGCAATTTATCGACATTTAATTCGGCGTTTTAGTCGTGCGAGCGTGCGACGCGCGGAAAGGCGCGAATCCAAAGGGACGGAGCACGATAAAGCGAAGGTTAATTCCGTCGCGTCGTCCGTCAATGCCAACGGCACTCCTGCCATTTCGCGAAACGGGGGTATAAAAGGACATAGCGCTCCGAAAAGAGCAATGAAAAATCGACCAGCTCCATTAATCACCCATACGCTGAGTGGTTTTGTCTTTATTTTGCATGCCGTGTTGCATTTTGCAGGGTGCAGGCTGCAGACTTCATATATTGTAAAACGCATTTAAAATGCGTTTAAGCCCTTAATTTAAATTGTTTTTTTTTACTTCTGTCTTTCTCTTTTTTTATCTCCCCCACACACTTTCTCTTTCTCTCTCTCTCTCTCACTCTTTCATGTGTAAACAAGCTCTCTTTTTAACTTTAAATTCCACATTTACAATCCTCGTGATTTCGATCACTCAAAGTTTTCCCCTCGCGCTGACGACGGCGATACAACTTTCATGATAAAGCACAACATCACGTGCAGGCGCAACGGTAAGGTCACAAAGAGTTAAAGCTCCCTCTTCATTCGACCCGCTATTATCGGAGAACGTGTTTTCCAGCGTCGATCGAGCAGCTGACCGTAAATCTCGGCCGCAAAGTAAAGGCCGGAGTGGTAGAATCGCGTGATTTCTGCGGGAAAATTGACACGTGACCTACTTGACATTCCTCGGACGTTGGCTTCGGAGCGTCCGCGATCACGATTTAGACGCGAGAATTGATTAGACTCTAAAACCTCCTCGGTGCGCACACGTGCCGTCTGCCGGATACGCTTTGTCCGCGAATCAAAGCCGATGGCTGCACAATACCGGCTGTCTCGCTCAACGATTCGAAGACACGTACGGAAAAACGAAGTGTGGCGAAGCTAGGTAGGTATAGGTACCGTAATTTCATTAAGTGGAAAGAGGCGACTTCGCCTGCACGGGACGAGAGTTCCGTGCAATTATACTCGTTCACTCGTAAAATTTCGGCCGCGCCATTTCCTATTCGGGTGCAGCAGAATTGCGGGGTATTGTCTTTTGTTTGGAGAGCACAATGAACCGCGAATATAATAGGGTAAAAGAGAGAAGAAGCGCGGCGGCGGCGGCGGCGGTGGATTTTTGCTCATATATATACAACAAAGAGCCAGACATTACACGCCACGGGTAAAATCCCGTTTCACAAAAATGCTTTCTGCTAATTATCGCAATATGCCGCCGCTGGGATCCCCGCGGTTATTATTAAAACACATTATATAATGATTTTATATAACGTAAAAACCTATGTATATCTACACCTTCGCCTGCAACGATTTTAATCATGAAAATTGGTGTTGAGACATCAAGAGCCACACGCGTGGCGAACGATAAACAGAGAGTAACATGAGCTACACGTGCGCGAGCGCTCGTTTTATTAATCCGGCCGCTTCGAAACATTATTTTTATACGATCGATAATGAAGCGATATTTCTGGCTCTCTCTCGTCTTCTCTAACGAGAGCGGCGAGAGGAAACACGGAGGAGCATCACAACGGGACGCCCTCGTAATAGACGATCTTACATCCGGATTGAGAAATCCGAAGGAGTGCCGCTCCTCTTGCGAGAGTCTTGCTATTCGTTCGCCTATAACTTACCCAACTGTACCGTCATTCACGCGGTTCTCATACCGTTTTAGATATACGAAATAAATAACCTAACGTCAACGCGCGAATAATCCAGCATCCAGATCGTTACTTTTTCTGCGGCATGTTATAAACAAACGCGTAATCGAGTTGGAAAACTGCAGTTTCTACGAGATCGAGTCTCGCGAGATATTAATTCACCGTAGATCTCCTTTATGGAATGATTACGTCGTAACACGCGGTACGTGCGCGAGCAGCACGAATTTCTTTAGATCGACGAAGGTCTCGTGAGGCCTTTACGGAAAGTGGAAACAGCGAGGAGATCTTCCGTTCCGGCGCCCGGTGACGCGACGCCGGCCACCGGGCTCGAGGAGCGCCGTCACTCGATAACCGTTGTTGACCGACTTGGTCCTGTCTTAATAACAGTCTCCGAAGGTAGGAAAGCCGCGGCGATCGGCGAGGCGGCGCAGCGTGGTGGCCGCGGCCGGCGTACATCCGTTAGACGATGACATCAGGCGCGTAGACGGGCGCGTAGGCACCCGCGTGCGCGCGCGCCTTCTTTCATCTCCGCAATAACCGCGCTGATGTGTCATCGCGGAAACGTGCCATTGTTCCTCTCGTATCGCGCGGGGGAATTATGGAAAAATTTCGACGCGCTGCGGCGAGGCTTGGGAGAGGCGCGGACGCAGAAGTATATTTGCGAAGGCTTCGCCCGGCTTTTGACATTTATCGCAGCGACATAATCCACCTCCATACATGTTCGCGGGCGCTTCCACCGAGCGCGCTTAAATAGATTTTACCTTGCACAAATCAGACCCATTTATCTCGTCCTCCGTGATAAATAATTCCCCTCGATCGGTCGATAACTACAATAATTATATACATCTGTACACCTCCTTAAGTCGACGGTCTCGTCGCCGCCATTCGTAACGCTCGCCGCAGCGTTATTTCGTAATATCAATCGCGAGCCCGATAATAATTACGATCGCTTAACGTTTGCACAATTATTTATGCGAGCGCGTGAGCGGGGAAACGCCCGCGCCTCCGTTCGCAAATCGCGGACATCGGCGGCGGTGCAAATTGGCGCGAGAAGGTATTTCGATCCGAGTACTGGCACTCGCGCTCGCGGGGAGCGACTAACTAACGATCGTTAATGACCGTTTCGCGCGGTCATTAAGGGAACTTCGCTCGCGGCCGGGCTCGCGATATCGGCCCGCTTCATTTCATAAGTAATCACACCGCGTGCTTCCACAGCGGTCCTCGGCTACGAAAACGACGCGGGGGGTCAGTAGGAGGGCGCGTAGGAGTAATCCGTTTTCTCGTCCCGCAGCCGTCTCGCGAAAGGGGGAACGGCGTGCGCTCCTTCCCCCTTTCGCTGCAATTAACGGTCCCTCAACAATCCTACGATAACGATCGCGTGGATTCACTTTGTCACACTGCTAACTCGGGGGCCGCGAAGTTTATGATTTATTCGTCGGGCCGCTGCGACATCTTAGACCGAGTAATTGCTTGTCGCTATTACGAGCCGTCGCTATCACGGAGTATTATGGGAAAGTAGCGGTAGTTTCAATATTTGATAATTGTTGAAACATATGTAATAAGTCTCATGAATAAATTTAAGAAAAAATAAGTAGATTCTGTAATTTATATTATTCCTGCGGAATGAGCACGCTTTAAATTATAATTAAATAATAATTAAAACAAGTAACGGTTGTCCTTTGTGATCAAGAAAAATCCGTAAATTATATAGAAAGAAAGAGAGCAAAAAGATAATATATGAAGCCGCCTACAAATTTATAAAAAGATTTACAAGCAAGTGGAGTAACGAGCAGAAACACTTCGCGGATTATTTAAACTACTGAATTATTAATATACTGAATTATTAAATTATTAAACTACCGCAGGACACGCGGACGAGCTGCATGGCAGAAAAATTTGACTCCGTTTAAGTCGCCGAAGATTCTGGCATTCGTTTCAGAATGCGAACGATGTTTGCTCCTCTTGGTTTCTCCTCCACCTCGCTGCAGTATTGCAAATAGCTCCGGCTTGCCGGTAATGCAACAAAACGATACGAGCGAGAGAAAGAACGCGTCTCCTCTCAACCAACATTGAAAGCGTGTCGGACGATCACGTAAAACGTAAAACCTCCTCCGTTGTGGTTCACCAGGTTCGCCGGTGGAACACGAGACTTATGCAAACGAACGACCGCCCGCGACCTTTTCGCGAAGCGCTCGGATCTCGATCCCGTTGATCGACATGATTTTCCTGGCGCGCACGGTAGAACGATATAAAATCGTATTCACTTGAAGTGCACAAATGTTTTCTTTTAGAGAATTGTAAGCTTTTAAAAAAATATATTTTTTTTTTCAAACGTTCTGTAGTAATTCTAATCAATTCTTTTACTATAAAAATTGATACATAAATACGCGGATATTTTCTCATATAGTGTGCGTTTCTTAAAAAATATACATGTATGCATTTTTTCAAACAAAAATATATTAATTTTATTAACTCTAACTATTATATCATTAAAAATAAAGAAATAACTAGTTTATAATAAGAGCATCATTAGAACACCTTGAAATAAAAATCACTTTTATTTTATTTCTATAATATGACGACGTTATAGAACGAATCGTGGGGATTTGCGATATTCGCGATTGTGCTCGTTGAAGCTCTCGCAGGAAGCGGAAGCAACGGACGACGCGACACAGCCGAGCCGGAAGCGATAGTTAACCGACCGTCAAGCCCTTCCTATTCTTTGCAGTATGAAAAATGATGGGGCGTAACAGCCAAGTGCCCTCGATCGCGCGGGCTTTTATTTTTGTACCTATGCGATTATACGGCGGGGATTCATCGGGACAGAACAGCAGTGATAAAAGGAGGAGTGTCTCGGCCGCAGTATTTTGTACTGTCGACAGATACAATTCGACGACCGTATTAACAGCAGCAGTTGTTTTTTTCAGGAGAGAGTGTATTTTTCCGCTCACCTTGAGATAAGATCCATAATACTTGGTGACGTATGGGCTGTCACACTGCGACAGCACCATAATCTCCTGCTGTATGTCCTCGATCTCATCTTCCGCCTCCTCAAGATCGATGATCTTGATGGCGACAACCTGCTGGGTCCTGTTGTCGATACCTTTGAAAACCTCGCCGAAGCTACCCTTCCCAATTCTTTCCTGTTTTGTAAATATCAGCTCGGGGTCCACCTTCTGCAACAGAGAAATTCAACGGTCACCGATTACCACTGCGGCCTTTGGCATTTCGCGTCGCGCGGTCTCGCGTTTATTACGTCACGCGCGTCATTTCCGTAAAAAGCTCCGCGCGGATTTTTTCGGTGACGCAACCAACGTAACGGGATATTGAGAAATTTCGAGAGATTCCTCAAGCATTCAAGACTTTCTTCTTCACCTATACGCGCGCGGCCTTCGGGAATTAATAAATGCAGTTGTTACACACGCAGCAATGCAGTTCTCCTTGGCTCTTTTCTAACTCGAGATGACACATGATGTCATAACGGTTTTATGTGCTATTAAGAAAACGTATGAATCGTCAACTTCACTTTCTTTTACGGAAAATCGAAATAACTGACGTCATTAATAATCCCTCGCGACGCGAATCGTGAAATACGATTATACGCATAGATCATGGGCTCCCAAGTCGCACTTGCAGCAAATTACGGCAACGGGATATCTCCACGAGCACGAGCAGTTTGACAAATGAAACGTCTCCTCTCCTCTCTAATCCGCTATTTAGACTTGCGCACGAGCGCTGTGCATATATGCTTCTTCTTCACGCTCGGAAGCTATTTGCCCTAAGAAGCAATATTATTCCGCAAGACGTTAATAAATTACCGCCACCGCCACTGTTTCGCGCCATACCCGTGTGTCTCGGCAGCAAAAAGATACCGCGACACTTTTCCGCCGACTGCTATCTGGAAACGTATTCGATGCGCCGAATAGCGAATCGCCTTCGGAATGACGCAATGGGTTTTACGGACGACGAGAAAAAGAAATTCCAGCATTCACTTCGACACCGGCGTCTCTTTTTTGCTTGCTTCTGGAAACCAATAATGCGCAACCAGCAAAACGCGGAGGGACGTCTGGAGATCATCTCGGTCCACGAAATAAAACGGCGGCGATAAAAATCGTAACAAAAGAGCCACGCGTCCCACGTATGTACATGTATACATATATACAGTATACATATAGTATACATATAGTGTGTATAATAGATATATTTTATATAAATACATTCTTGTCTTCCACACGCTTTTTGTATTTGTTAGAAGCGAGAGCACGTGACGGTGAAATAGTCCAAAACAAATGGCGCTGTCGTGAATGCAACATTAAACGTTTCGCTGTAATTAAACACTGCATCTTTAATGCGACTTCCGCGAGTCTAATTCGCCATACATTTTTAGAATTCTTTCGGGAGTTCCTTTTCCCTATACAGTTGGTTGGTTCTCTACAGTTAATGAAACAAGAACAGTAAGCAATTTAATTGTAGGTACCAGGAACTTTGGAGATGTAGCGTGTACTATAATTTTCCGCTGCAACTCATGCAGATGAAATACCCTTTTTCCTCCTTTCCAGTTTTTCCGGAGAACGGTTCATATACGCTCGTTGATAAACGTCGAAAACGTCGGAAACGCTAATTTGTCGGCACCCGGGCTAATAATGAATATGCACGTGGGCTTTGTGTGCGCGAAGCGCGCTGACTCTTCATTTTCGCGCGCTCGCAATCCACGGATTACACAAAAAGTCGGTAAACTGAAAGCTCATATCACGGCGGCCGAGATTAAAGCGAAGCGAAGCTTCAAAATGTGAATGGGCTCTAAGGGCAACGGAATAAAAATTCGCGACCGTCGGTAAAATCCGGAAAATTTGCTTTGCAAATTCCCTCATATATCCGACGGTTGATGTTTCGTGACTGCCGGGGCGTTTTATCGCGCTGATGGATTTAAAGGTCATTGATTTTCGTCGTCGGTGCCGCGATCATTTCCATTTTCGTGCAACTTAGGTCCTCGACCTAGCGATTTTCTCGCGCAAAATCGATATTCGAGTCTAGGATACGAAACTCTAAAAAGAAATTACGCTATCACATACCTATTTAGTACATTATGTCAGGATTATCGCGTTTTACTATCTAATAACTGCGGGATATTATCAAAAATTAGCATAGCGCAAATGCAATTTGCGGCTACCACACGACAGAATACAACCTGTCGTTTATTCTGACATTAATCCACGTTAGTAACCATATTTGTCACAAGCAACTTTGTAAACATTATATTTCACTCGTAATTTATGCGAAATATTTGACGCAATCATGTGTCGCAATAGACGAGAATAAACTATGAGTTTGAATAATTCTGACGCGGACTGTATCGGAACACAATAATAAGTCAATTAACGAGGGAAAAAAATATCGCTTCTCAATCGCAAGTTATGAATCGCAGTCATGCTGTATACAATGAGACGTGTGCCTCGCTTGAGTTCGCAGCAAGGGCAAACGAGCACGGACGAGGCAAGAGAAGATGACTCTCGATTCCGCGCGTTAATACTCGGCATCGTCGAGATGCACCGGGCGTCGTTTCTCCTCTTCCTGCTCTTTTATGCCGGCGCCGCGGCGCCTCGCCGAAACTCGTGACACAGATTCTAATTAGCGGCTGTCGCAAAAGAAATCCGACACGTAGGCGGCCAAAAATAGTCACGTTCGAGAGGGGCGCAAATGAGAGACGACGATATTCGCGTCGCATAAATAAGATACACGGACGTTCTTCATCGGTGTTTATTTAGCAAGTAAAAATTGAGATTTGATTTTTCCGCGTTCTCGGTTTTTTTTCGTTATAAACTCCAGTTTTTTCATTCAGGAAACACATTATATCTATCATTAGTGGGGCTATTCGATTTGAGAAATGAGGTTTACCCGATATTAAGGAAGCGAATTTCCGAGATGTTACATTTGCGGCGCCATAATGATGCTTGAGATATCCGACAGAGCCTCTCGTCTTATTAGATTAGTTTGGGTAGCGGCTCGCGCGCTTTGACGGACACGCCTATTCTAAACTACATTAGCTACGCCACGCCGTATAACGCGTATACAGGTTTGCTGTCGGGCTATCTTCGACCCAGATACCGTCCAGCGGATATGACGAAATTGACGTAGGGTTGCCAAGGGCGTTCAATTAACGGCCACACACATGGCTTTATCCAATTGCAGGCGGCTGTGTCAGCTACTGCGATTCGCAAAACCTCGTCAGAATTACGTAACACAATAAATATATTACGGCACGGTGTATATCAGCCGAGTTAACCGCGTTATGTGTGTACATATTATAATAGTTGGATTACAGTAGTGCTACGGCAGCTTTTCTCGTCTGAGCATACGTGTTACACATGTGGCATTAATTTCCAATTGATATCAGGGGGATTCGCAGAATTAATTTAGAGGCTTTAAATTAACGCGTGAATACTTTATGTATAAAAATATCGTATCTACCAGGACCATCCGCGAGAGATACTATAATTTTAAATTAACGTTATATCATATTGTGAATACGATTTGTAGAGTTATTTCACGTACGACAGATTAACGAAGAGTGACGTTTATTCGTACAAATGTGACTGCACTCTGTCACATTTGAACACATTTGTCCCGTGGAAAAATATTCCGCGTTGAATTTTCAACGTTAAATCTTCACCATTTGCCGAGTAGTGTTCATTAAATAGTCGAATTAAGGGAGATTTCTCCGAGAAATCCCTTTCCCTTAACGCCGCACGATGAAGATCCCATTTAAGCGATACCGCTTCGCTGAACACGCGACTGAAATAATTTGCCAGATAACACGAAGTTTGGTATCGTTCTGACACATCTTAATTAAGAAGTGTAACCGCGTCTCAAGAAATTTCGTCTCAGGCGTCCTTTTAAGAGACAGGCTCGGGTATAGACTCGCCGCCCTTCCCAAGATAAACGTCCCAACTTCATCAGGGAGCTCAAGACTGTCAGGCTACAACGGGATCGCATTAATTCCAAGGAGCTGCGATTGTTCTCCCTCGAGATTGAGAACGGTCCGATACCTGTATTTGCGATACTCCAACGACTCAATGAAACAACGATTCAATTCAGTTGCATAGCAACGTCACTTGGAAACACGGAAGACATCATACATAAATGACAAATCGCGAATTAAACTTTTATTATACCGTTGGATACAACGAGCGATATCTACTTATCGCCGCGATTCAGAGACAAGAGTCGCTTCCGCATCTGCGAGTGTACTGGCGAAAACAGTTGCGAGATTGCGCTGGTTAACGTCACTTTTACGGGAAATTCGCGGAGCTACATTGCGGTCGAATCGAGTTAAGAGAAGTAACCCAGAATATCTTTGTGCCTGAAACAGGCTGTTGTATGCCAAAGGAGAATTTCATTATCATATGTTTAAGTTGCTCTTTGAGAATCTGAATGCATAACAAATTGGCAACCTGAATAGCATCTTAAAACGCACCGAGCGAAAGTAATATTAAGCGCGCGATATACCAACGCGGCGTTTTTCCCTTTTTTCGTTATTCGGCTTTATCGTATCGTCAGTTTTTCTTGCATTTGCGTGACAAAAGCCGGCGCGCAAACGGTTTCTCTCCGATTATATGTAAATTGCGTCGCATTTGATTCCCGTATACGCGAAACGAATCGAATTACGACCGTCGTGCGTCCGTGATTACCGTGGAAGTGTCGGAAAATTCGCTCTCGTTGACTGAATACATTCGGAAACGAAGCCAATATACACACGCGCGGGCTGCGATAAAATTGGCACAAAGAAAGTTATGCGCGGGATGCGGAGATTAAATATAAATTAGTAACGCAGAGTAAACTCTTTGGTCAAACTGTATCCGAAATTATTTGCGCTTTCTCTCTCGCACTCGAGATCGCAAACATGCATCCCATCGACGTATATTCTCGTTGCCATTTGAATGGGTATGAGGTAGACAATAGGCATGCGGATAATTCGCTATAAATCGAAACCATCGAGCGGTATTTGGTGTCCCTTTTTTTTCCGTCTGTCCGACAACCGACGGAAAATCACGATCGCGCCCGCCCATCTCTCACGTACATACGCGCGACGCGAGGTGCAGCGATGCGATGCATGCGATGCGGCATGGCGAGGGGCGGGTGCGGAGGGCTGACGCAGCGAGTGTTTCTAGGGTCAATC